GAGACAGAAAGACAGAAAGTGAGAAATTACCCCATTGTACGGATGGCCATGCCAGAATCCCTTCTCCCCCATTCTCATCTTGGGATCTTGGACATGCACGCACATGTGCCCAGTGTGAGTTTTAAGCTGCTGAGTCCAGGACTCAAACCATGGTCGACTACGTGGGAGTCCAGAGATGTAACCATTACACCATCTGCTTGTCCTGAAACTGAATGTTTCAAACTATATAATGTAGTAACACTGGAAATCACATTCCTTCCTGTCCCTCAGGGTTTATTGTGATTGTTTTTGTTTCTGTTCAATGACTTTCCTAAGCTAACTCCGTGAAGTCTATATTCTTTATCATATGTAGCCATAGAAGTTTCTGCCTAGAAGTCACCTAACAATTGAACAGAGTTACTCACCTGAAGCCAGTAAGTCTGCCAATCTTTGCTGAAGAACTGTGCGTGTGTTTAGGACTACACATCTACACATCTAACACTCAACCAGGTTTTTGACAACTCTGCCTTAGCTTTCACTTGCTGTGTATGCAGAGCCTCTTTACAACTTTCTTGAACATGGATATAACTGTGTGTATGTCCTGTCCCAGATCTCAGGAGTATGTCAGAGTTTTTCAAATAGCTCATTCCCCAGCTCTTAAATTTGTGGCAAATGTTTTCTACACTTTGGGGCAGTGGTAAGGTTAAAACATTTGCATATATAAATATATAAATATATAAATACATAAATTGCTGGACAGACAGACAGAAACAGAAACCGAGAAACCACCTCCCTAGGGGGAATGGTCATGCTGCAATCCCTTCTCTCCCATTCTCCTCTTGGGATTTTAGGCACACATGAGAACATACCCAACATTAATTTTAAGCCGCCGGGTCCAGGACTCAAGCTGTTGTCAACTACATGGGAGATCAATGATGTAACCATTGTGCCATCTGCTGGTCCCTGTAATTTTTTGTTTGTTTGGGCATTATTATTATTATTATTATTATTTAAGCAAGTCCTCCTTTCCCCTGCCCACAGAAAAGGCATCTTCTACTAGGTAAGCTCCAACTCAGGTCAAATATATTGGGTCATCAAGAAAGTCATGATACATGTTTGAATAGAAAACCGGAAAAATATGTCATGACCTGCCCAATGAACTGCTAGATAGCCATCTCAGAGGGTCTTTTAGGGGGAAAATCAGATGGGTTCAATAAGGACAATTCTTTAGCAATGAGGATTTGAAAGAGCTCTACCTCTGTTCTGCCTATTTGGTGGCAATGAGTAAGCAGGCTGTTATTTTTTTAAGGTTCTGCGAGCTGAGGAGTGCAGCATGGTATTAAGGCACGTTAAAATGCCGCAAAACTCACTGTTTCCACTGAGAGTTAGTCATTCTCAGTAAACGCTCCATGGACTGCTGCAAGACTTTGGTTAAATATCCCATCTCTGAAAAAGTTGATCCTGAATACTTCTGGCAGTTTTTTCATTGCTCTTCTGGAGAAGCAAATTTTTAATACAGTACCCACTCTTCTACTTTTCCTAACAAATTGCACTTACCCTTCACTTCTGTACTACAAAGACAGTGGGTATACTATATAAACTATGCGTGCATGTACTCCACTGCCACATTGGAGAATCATGCCCCTCCTCCTGCAGAGGAGCGAGATGGTCAAGAAGGCTGTAAAACAATAGAAGGCAGTGTGCTTCGGCCTCTGAGGAGTTCATAATCTAGCTTCAAGGACAAGACACATTAAAATAAATAAATAAAACACAATATCAGTGCCTGGTACCCTCAGGAGTATTCTTAATATACAGCATGCTAGGGGTGAGCAGGTGGCATGGTGGTTAAGGCACATGGCTAATCATAGTTCAAGTCCCAACTTAAAAACTGCACAGGGTATATGAGTGCATGCCAAGAATCCTGAGAGGAAAATGGAGAAGGGAGTGTGGTGTGGCCATCCCTCCAGGGGGGCTGATTTCTCACTTTCCCTCTCTCTATCTCTGCCTGTCTCTCCAGTGAGTGCATGTGCTCTATGGCAAAACCTTAAAAAAAGTGTGTGTGTGTGTGTGTGTGTGTGTGTGTGTACACATATGAAACGAACTAATCCCTAATGGAGTGATAAATATGAGTCCACAGACTAGCAGAGAAGGGATTCTCTGGGTTGGAAAAAGTACCAAGAAGAACAGCAGTCTCTGCCTGGGTCTTTACAGAGACCCATGATAGTGATAAGAAGGGGGGAAAATGTGCCAAAAAAAGGGGAGACTGTTCAGTTTCAGAAGCCTTTAAATATTTATAATGTGAACCGTTATATACTCTGGGTACAAATCCTTTGTCAAACGTGTATACACACACTTGTTAGAAACTGTACATAAGGCAGCATTCATTTGTCTTGAGAGGACGGCTTGTGAACAGGTTGAATGGGAGATAAATTTACCAAGGGAAGGAGGGCTAGTGAGTGAAGAGCCTTGAACACAAACGTAAGGAGTTGCAATTTGATTATATAGGCCAGAAAATGGAACTATCACTATGCTTTCAGGCCAAATCTGGCTGGTTACCAATTTTTGTAAAGAAAATTTTATTAGAAACCATGCCTGTGCATTCACTATTGTCCATGGCTACTCTGAGTGAGCAGAATGGTTGCAACAAAGACCACGTATCCTACGGAACCTAAATATTTACTATCTGGCCTCTGAAACTGGTCATGACCGCCCTGGACAACAGAAGAGAAATTAAGGGCACACAGAATGCTCAAGAAATGATTTTTAAAAATCAAGATATAACTGTGAGCAGCACTGAACTGGGAAAATTTTGCAGGAATTAGTGACTGGCTAAAGGAAAAAGAGTTAAAAGTCACAGATAACTCCACAGTTTTAAACCTGTAGGACTGGTTGGAAGAGGGTGGTCCTAACTGAAACTGAGCTTGGAGTAAAGTTCGTGGATATATGGTGAATCTGCCTTTAGACATGTTCAGTTTCTGCTGTTAGTGAAACTCTCAACTAGTATTTAAAAGTAGAGATGTGATACTTCACCTGGGAGAGATGGCAGGGTTGAAAATAGGGATTTGAAAGTCCTGTGCATAGCTGAAAGCTGCGGAAAATGGAGCGACCTCCTCGAACGAATACAGAGAAGGTGTGAGAACACACTCACCTACATCAAGTAGAAGGCAAGGGGGAGAACCAGTGGGGACAAGGGAGAAATGGCCTGGGGGAGAGGTGAGGAGAGGGCAGCACGGCAGAAGTCATTTATAAGCTAGAACAGCTGTTTTACGAATGAAGGTATGAAGAAGAGTCTGCAGAGGGAAGAGTGAATGGACAAAAGGTCGACGGGACTGGAGAAGCATCAAAGAGGTCTAAGAGGAAAACAGCAAGGGGAGCAGTTAATTTTTCAGATAAATCTCTAAAATGTCAGATACCATGTGGAGAAGCACATTTACTTATGAAAAGATGGCCAGCCTTTCCACTGACTTAGCTTTCACTATGAGAAAACTTAGGCATTAGAGAGTTAAAGAGTGATCATAATCTTTATGAGCGATGAGCGACCTTCGAAAAAGGAGCTCGCTGGAACGACTGTCAGTTATAAAATCCCTGATAAAAAGAAGTATGACAAAGGTGAGATGCTGTAACCGCAACATAAAGCAACAGGGAGAGTGGAACAGCGACGTGGTCACAGCTAAGACTGCTGCCCCGTGTTATAGGCCTTCTCTAACTACCCACCGTAACTAGAGCACTTTTCTTACTGTTATTACTGCAGATGGAAGAGCTAACCAAGCACCGTGAATGGTAGGTTTTTCTGTTACTAACTATATCCTCACTGCTAATATCCACCCAACAGACAAATATCCCTTAAATTACTATGGTCGCATACATTCTTTGTTGAAAGGTGCTAGACAATCTGAGTTGAAGAATTGTTCTTTGTGTCTTAATTGGAAAATAACATTAAATGTATCAGTAAAAACCTTAACTCTCACTGGCTTACAGATTTACACCAAAGTAAAAGAAAATTAGAGAAAATGAATTTAGGCATTTGAATAAAATATGAAATACAAAGAGAAATGGTATTCTTAATGGCTAGAACAAGTGAAAAAATCTATTTAATAGCTAAAGTAGTGAACTTTTAAAATGAAAAATTTAAAAAGTAAAACACACGAATTTAAGTGAAAGCATTTAAGGACCAAATAAAACCAAGTAAGGCACTTCAAGTTTTCTGTAAACATCCCTTAAGAAAAGATTCAATTAGCAGATACACAGAAGGAAATTTCCTAAAACTGGAAATTCTGTAAGAAACAGAGGGCCAGCCCTGTAATGTAGTGATTCAGGAGTTGGACCCCACACTGTTGGGTGCAGTTTGAATCCTAGATCCAGTGGCTTGTAAAACACACTGGATGTACGTGTGTGCACACCCCAAGTCCCAACAAGATAGACAAATGTAGAAGGGACTGTGGTGTCACCATGCCCCATTGGGGCATGTTTTCTCTCTTTCTCTCTGCCTCTCTCTGGCAAGCACATGAACTCCTGGCAATTACAAAACAAAACAAAACAAAACAAAACACCAAAACAAAAAACAAACAAAAAAACCTAAGAGCTTTTAAGAACTTGATTTTTACACCATCCAATTTCATTTCAAAACCAACTGATTATATTATTAATAAAACGTATTAGCCATGACATGTAAAGCTTGTTAAGTTGAAAATAAAAATATAGAAGTAAAAAGAAGGAATAGAAAGTTTACAGCCATTGACTGATGTGAAATTATCTCAATCTCAAGCTGAGTGGATTTAAAAAATAAATAAAACAATGCATATGAACCCAACAAAAGTATAGGAGAAACAGAGATGTAATTCTCTACATTAGCCACTAGGAGGCGGCATTAGCTTAGGCTAGGTCAGTGGGTGGTGAAGACAGGTAAGCAAGCACTTGACGTTTGCAGGTACAAAACCACCAGAGAAGGACATTCTATTTGATTATACCAGTAGAAATTTTGAAAGCAAATATTTTGAAGGATCAGAAAATTGTCCACTTACCTTTACTACATTGTCTCCTGACTGTCCATTATTCCGTAAACAATCTAGACATATAGCAATCTGTGGGTCACTTCTGTGATAGTCTTTATCATCTTGATTTTCATCACCTTCTTCATCTACTTTAGATTTGTCAACTTTTAAGGTATCGTCTGTACAATTTAAACAAAACTTAGATATAACTCAAAGCTGATTTTAAAGTTAAACAACAATTCAGTGATCATCAAAACAAAAATTAACTTAAAAATATTTCATAACTATTTTGAATAACTGAAAAATAAAATGTTCTAGCCAACTCAGTAATTGTTCAGAAAACCACTGCAGAGTTACTAAGATAGCCTAAGATTTCTAGGCTCACTGGGACATCCAGATAAAAGATTGAGGTCTAGCTGTATCTAGTCATAAAACGGACTGCAATTAGTTATGAAACCACTTTAGAATGTGGACAAGATATAAAAATACTTTCAAATTCTGTACACATATTTGAACGATAAACCAAATATTCACTTTTCACATTTTAGAATATTATCTTTAAGCTCTGAGAATTTCAGATTATTAGATATTTATAAAATCAGTTAGTATAGGGGCCAGCAAGTGGTGTGGTGGTAAAGGTGTTGGATTCCCACATGGCTGACTGCAATTCAAGCACAAGACCTAGTGGCTTGAAAATCATGCTGGGTGTGTGTATGCATGCCCAAAATCAAGAAGGAGAATGGAGGAGAAGGATTGAGGCATGGCCATCCCCTCTGAGAGATCATTTCTCACTTTCCCTCTTACTGTCTCTCTCCAGGGAGCACACAAGCCCTATGACAAAAATCTTTAAAAAATAAACACATGAGGACAAAATAAGGTTTTTTTAAACATATATATATAGCTTTGTTACATGTTAAAACTCCATTAAAGAAATCTGAATGGCATACTTCATGTTATATAGAAATGTATTTAACCTATCTCATGCCCACAGCCTATAAATAATCAACTCTGTTTACTCCCTTGACTGAGTGCCTCTGTCTGCTCCATGTGCACCAGGCTAGGCCTGTGGGAACCGTCTGGGAACTGCAGAGCTCTCATCCTCACTCTCATCGTGGATGGTACAGGACGAAACACAGGCAAGTAAAATAACACTGGGCAAGCACAGGATGGGGAGGCACAATGGACCACGTGGGCACATACCAAAGAGGCAATAAACCTAGGCTTTGGAGGTAAAGGAGAGATGAAGGGATGATTTGAAGATTAAATTAAAAGCTGAACAACTCAGCTAGTTGATATTACATTGTAGAAACTGTTCCCCGAAATGACAGGTCAACTGCTCTTCAGTGACAGTAGGAAAAGCCACATGGATGGACCATAAAACGTGAAGTGCTCTTTCTCCTATGTACTTTCTTCTGTTTCTTCTCCGTATGTACTTAGAACCTACACAGACAGGAGCTACCTCTGATAACTAAACTCCCAGCTCCAAGGAAAGATCAACTTCTCCATCCAAATTAAGGACCAAACATCATAAATTCTTCAAAAGAGGAGAAAACAATGGGAAGAGGAGATTTAACTCACAAGGGAGACTATGTCCTTCACAAGTCAGTCTAGGATACAGTCATACACTAAGACCTACCCTATACTTCCTGAACGAGGTGGTCAACAACTGGAACGTTTAACTAACCGTGTGCTATCTACGTCCTCACCGGAGCACTACAGTTTAACTGCAATGCGGACTCGAATAAAACAAGCTTTTAGTTAAGTCTGTTTCTTGGTCAGGCTTCACTTCTTTGCCCATTTTATTGTAACAGATAAAAAGACAGTCCCTTGCTGCCTTGTTCCTGTCATCACAACTGTTGTTAAATCTCCCCTGCTATAGGAAAATAGCCCTGCATAGTTAGGTCAAACTAATAAACCGCGAGCCCATCTTACAGGTGAAAAAGAAAGACAGCATTTTCTCATCCACCTTGATATACAATGGACAATCCTAAATGATCTCAAGGATAAAAAGCCACGCTTGGGAGACTGAGTCCACAAGAGCCTGGAAGGACACAAATACATTCTTGAGAGATTTCAGTTTTCAGGTATCTTGAATTAAATCTCGCAATAAGAAACCAGGGGGAAGCATACCACTTCCTTGTATTTCTAGATACCCCTTTGTGTGGACAATATCCATACTAAAAGCCTTTTCTCTCCACTCAGAAATATTTGGCACCTGCTGAAGTTATTAAAAGTGATCAATTGTGGAGTTGTCTGGAACCTAGAGGAGAAATCTGAACATTTAGCACAGGTAATGATAAAAATTGGTACCCTGAAATATTTCTCAAATCTCTAGGACACGTAAGTTGGTACCATCTGAGCTCTACTTAGGAAAACTTCACCCAGAGGCTCAGAGCAGAGCAAACTTCCTGATCTGACTCTCAGCTGTATCTCAGCTCCCTTTCCTAATAAACCAAGCATAAAAAGGCAATAAAACAAAAGGTCCTCTCTTTATTGTGGGTGATGGCTTTTCTTACTCCACCTTCCTCTGGTTTTGAGAAATATTATCCTCTGTTCAGTTTTATTTCCCTTTTCTTAAAGTCCGATTTCCTCTTTTTACAATACCCTCGGCTGGACTGACTCCAGATACACACACAATCTGGAGTGTGTATGTGTGTGTATGTGTGTACACACATACATACAGATATATGCCAATTGTTTATATACAATTTATATAAGATCTCATATAAAGAAAAAAGGTTCATAATGCAAAGGAAGAGGTGCATGAATTTTGTGCAGGACAAATTTGAGCTTGATGTAAGATATTCATTCACCAAATCTACAAAAGGCTAATCTGAGACACGATGTCAGATACAGACATATAAAAAAGTCACCTTGTCCATTTTCTTGAGGCTTATTTTTCTTCCAAAATTCAGATTCACGCTCAAGTTCTTCTAATTTAAAAGAAAAAGAAAAGAGTATAAAAACCATAGGAACAATCACAAAATATTTAAATAAAAACACTGATTTCATAAAACACAAAAGCCTGCAAAAATCTATATAGCAACTTACGTTCTCGTAGTCCAGGGACAAGTTTAAATATAATTTCCTCTAATGTATTATCCAACCTTTGAAAGGGAAAAGAAAAAGAATATACTAACAATGAAGACAAGAAATTCCAACATGTGAACAGTTTAAAATCTTTAAAAAATTGTTTTTTGCCAGTAGGTGCATGCACTTGGCAGAGATAAAGAGATAGTAAGAGAGGGTAAGACAGCAAGCCTCCACCCCCATTTGTGCATGCCCGTCAAAGGGAATGGTCATCCTGCAATCTCTTCTCCACTCTACCTCCTTTCAGGATTCTAGAAGCATGCACACACACACACACACACACACACACACACACATACACATATGCCTGGTGTGAGTGATTCCCCAGCCACTGGGTCTGGGACTTGAACTGTTGGGTTAGGCATATGGGACCCAATCACCTCAACCACTGGGCCACGGGCTGGCTGGAGATCTCTATATCACAAAATACAGAACTTACACAATGTACCACACTAACTATACCAAAAATCTCTGTACACAGAACACAGCTATTTCCAGCCTTCGACCATGGTTGACTGATGACAAAAGTGGTCTCAATTCTCACTTAACTCTATATTTACACCCTCTCAACATGAGTTTGAAATTCTTCCCTTGGTAAAGAGAATCTACTTCCCCACCTGAGACCACAGGCTCGCCTCGAGACTTGCAAACGTAGCACGAGCAACCTGCTCAGTTCTGAGCCTAGGCCTCCAGACTCCCACAGGCTTTCTCCCCTCCCCTCACAGTACCCTGAGGACAAGCCTGGAGACGAGAGACTGTGCGAAAGGGGGCCTGGGGCTTGCTGAGGTCTACTGGACTAGGCCACAGACAGATGGCTCGCCCCAACACACAGCAGATCTCGGCCCAGAGGAGCAGAGCACCCTACCTGACCTGACGCATAGCTCGCTGTACCTGAGTGAGCCCGGTCTGGACCCAGAGAAAAGTTCTCTTCCTAGAGAAGAATTTAACTATGTACTTTGGCATTCTTCTTTTCTCTTCCTGGTGTCTAACTCTTCCTCTTCATGGTCTCACTGCTTCCACTCTGTTCTCTTGCTCCTGCTACACCCTCTTCTCATTCGTCCCTTTCATTCTACTCAACAGTGTGATGCTGGCGAAGTGGAGGGCAGCTGGCTCCAGCATGGCTGACTGTGTGGTCGAAGCGCAGACCAGGTGGCTTCAAAAACACACTTGGTGTGTATGTGTGTGTGCCCAAAATGCTGAGAGGAGAATGGAGGACAAGGGACTGTGACGTGGCCATCCCCACTGGGGGGTGACTTCTCACTTTCCCTCTCAATGTCTGTCTCTGGTGAGCACACGCATTCTACAGCAAACTTAAAAAAACAAAATAAAACCAAACAAAAAAGCAGTGTTACTCTTCTCTGAATAAAAAGAGAAAGATAGATTGCTCATATCTAAAAAAAAGACAACAACCTTTGATTAACTCATTGTCTTAATCTATTAGTCTGTTTCCCAATCTCTTCTTCTAACAGGAAAAAACCTGAAAGCATTAATTTACATTATTTTTATTGTATACTTTGTATCTTGCTTCTTTTACACCGGTGAAATCTTAAAACCATCCATAACATCCACACTAAATAGGCTTATTTTTTTAATTGAAATCTAAAATTCAAACAATTAAAAACAAATTTCTGTTTTGCCTAATACTGCTTCCCTGAAAGTTTCCTTTTTCTGGTTTTCACTTATTTAATTTGTTCCTTCTTTGTTCCTAAGGATTTTCCTTTATCCAGCTCCTCCTAAACCTCATCTTCTCAATGGAATGTTCGCCATTGCTCCATACTTGACACTCTTCGGGTCTCAGCACATGAAATGGTAACTGCACACAGCAGCTTTAGTCAACGTTTGCTGAGTGGACAATTCCCTCAGAGGAATTCGCGATTTCGTCCCTACCATCTACCTCGGCACCAGTGGCCAAGAGAATTATAATGTGATCAAGTATGTAATTTGAGATGTTCTAGTAGGCACATTAACAAAAGTAATTTATATGTTTTATGCGAAACTAACTTTGCTTTGTTTATATATTACATAATTTCATAAAATGTAATTTTTAGTTATTTAACAATAAAGTTCTAGTTAATGGGAAAATACGTACACTGTTTTAGGCTTTAATTGCCATTACATTAAACTAGAAATTTCCTTCCTCACTTGTACTAGCAACACCACAAGTGGTACCAGACTCTGTGCTCACGGCCCTCGTACGGGACAGCACCGACTCAGACATCGTGTCTCCAGGCCCGCTGCATACTGTCACATCCCCTCTCTCCCTTCTACGTTAGAGTCCCTTCTTTCTGGGTTTAATTAAACTCCTGCACATCCTCCAACAGCCTCCTGAGACTGGGTACGTGGAGGGTGAATTGCTTTACCACCTTTGTAACAGACATCATTTCCTATTATCCTTCTGTTCTTTTTTTTTTTTTTTTTTACTTTTTGCTTTAGGTGCATGTTTTTTAGCTTTTTGCTTTAAGGCGCATGTGCTTGCTTGGGAGAGACAGAGAGGAAAAGTGAGAAGTCGCCCCTCCCAGGGGGGCTGCCATTCACCTTTTGGAATTTTGGGCACATACACGAGTACGCGGCATGATTTTTAAGCCACTGGGTTTGGGATTTGAACTGTGGTCGGTCATGTAGGATCCAATGTCTTAACCTCTATGTCACCTGCCAGTCCCAATATCCTTATTCTTAGGAAGTAAACACTAAAGTACTTAAGAGCACTTAAGTAATACATGTAAGTTACCATAGAATCATCCAGAACAAAATAGCAAGAGCATGCAATATATATGATAAATCAAATGACGAAAAAAAATCTTAACAATAGGCTAATCTGGGTAAACAGAATACAAGTATCTCATGTACTACTTTAATTTTCCCAACTTTTTCTAAATTTGAAACTGTTCCCAAGTAAGTTTTAAAAATATATGACATCATTCCTTAGCCAGGGGATTCATGTGGTTAAACGGACTGGAATTCTCCAGGTATCTAAATGTCAGACCGAAAGATTCAGATAAATTACCTTACAAGTAGCACTTTAAAACAGAGTACATAATAACTAAATATTTTTTAAAATTTTTGATAAAAACATTAGGAAAAAATGTGAAAGAGAACTTTGTTCTCTGAGCTCTGTAAACCAGTTTCTGTACCTCAGCCAGCTGCCACTTTGGGCTGGATAATCTCTGGGTAACGTCTGTGGGGAGCTGTCCCACACAATAGAATGCTAACCAGAACCCCCAGGTCCTAACTACCGGACCTGATGACCAGAAAGGGCTCCAGACATTGCTGAAAGTATTTTACAGTGCAAAATCACTTCAGGTGAGAAGCACTTCGTTAAACAGGGCTAGCCAAAGCCTTGCTCCGAAGTACAAACTATAGCAGGTTAATGTCCAAATATGAGTCTATATTATTATACATCACCTGCAGAGTTTGCTAACCTAGAGGTCTCCAGTGGGGTCTGAGAGCTGCCATTTCTAACAAGACACTAATGGTCTGAAAATCACACTTGGGAACTACTGGTGATAAACATTTACCCAACGACAGGCACTGAAATTGGTGGGGGCCGGGGGAAGGTCTGAAATGTAAACTTTCAAATCCAGATGTGTAGAATGAGGGCAGGTATACCTATAAGAGAGTTAGAAAAGGTTTCAGAGATGACCTGGCTCTATTTTTAGATGTGTACTTCCCTCTGATCACATGGGCTGTGTTCGAGCGATGGAAGAGACAGTGGGGAAAGGATGGGTCTAGGGGTGAGGACACCTGGCCTGTGACTGGGAAGTAACTTACATAAGAAATGAGCTGTGGGACCTTAGGTAAGTCATGTCACGTCTACAAATTGCAATTTCCTAATCGGGAATAAAAGGGTTTGGATTAAGACCTTAATCTTAAAAATAAGTGATTATACTGCTTAAGTTGAGTAGCAAGCACATGTACTCTTTTTTAAAAAAGTAAACTTTACATAGATGTTTACATACTATTTTTTTGAATACGTAAGTTTTCAGAAGTTCACAGTACACACTTACTATTACTTATCTGAAATGTGTGAGATTGGAAGTGGTTTAGATTCGGGATTTTATTGGATTTTTGGAATATTTTCATATACATAAATGAGCTATCTTAGAGATGGAACCCCAAGACCAAACACAAACAAATTCATGTGTGTTTCATATACACTATATTCACATGGCCCGAAGGTAATTTTACACAATACTTTTTGTATGGCATCATTCTGACTGCAATTCATCACATGAGCTCAGGTGTGGAATTTTCTACTTGTGGCTCTGAGTCATTGCTCAAAGTTTTGGATTCTGAAGAATTTTGGATTTTGAATTAGAGAAGCACTATTAGCTCTGTCCCTTTTCCACTACCATATAACACAACAAAATGTAAAGTATTAAAATACTGAAAATAATGGCAACTAAAGTCACTCTTACAATTTTAATTTGAAAATATATTTATTACGTACTTAAGAGGTACAGATGTATCGAACTCTTAGTAAGATAATTAAAAATAAAACACATCAAAGTGAAAATCATAAAATCCCTAAGACTTAAATTGACTGTGTCAGGACACCAAAAGATGATGACGTATGACAGACATTAAGAGCGTATACAGCTTATTTAAATGACATGAACTATTAAGTATACTCCTTACCTTAACATTTCTAATGGGTTTGTTTCGTGGACTTGGTTGCCACACCTTGGACAATCATTGCTGTCTTCAAAGTGCTGGACAATACAAGTCTTACAGACTAAGAAGAAAGAAGCGGTTAGGTTAAAATACATCATTTCAACTGTCACTTAAATTTAAAGTTAAACTAAGGGTAGCAGTCCTTAAAACTGTAGGTCAAATACTATTATTTAATCAAACTTTATAAAACCTTAACATATAAAACTACAACAATCATATGAAATTAAAGCCCATTGCCATCATATAAAAACTGTATCTATTTTGTTTGTTATTTTTCTTATGTATATTCACGAAGGAAATACTACTCTACCAGCATTAGTCCAAAACAGCTGGTGCATGTACATAAAACAGGCTTTTCACTTAAAGACAGACTAGGCAGAGAGGTACGACTGATGTGTGCATTTACTTTTTTTTTTTTTTTTAAGGTTTTTGCCATAGGGTGTGCATGCCCACTGGAGGCAGACAGACAGTGACAGTGAGAGGGAAAGTGACAAATCCCCCACCCCCACCCCGAAGAGGATGGTCAAGCTGCAATTCCTTCTTATCCATTCTCTTCCTGGGATTTGGGGCACATATGTACATGCGCCTGGTGTGACTCATAAGCTGTCAGATCTGGGACTCAAACCACAGTCCGCTATATGGCAGTCCAGTGCCTTAACCACTACACCACCTGCTGACCCCTGCGTTTACATTTTTAGTTAAAAATTTATGTGGATGCAAACAAAACTTGAGAGTTTTCAACATGTTTGGATGACTTTCATTGGCAGGATGCTCCTGGGATGAACTGGGAGCGGGGAATGGAATTCCATTCTGCAAATACCACGGAGGTGCTGGTCTTTGCAGGGCATGATGGGCCTGTGCTCCCTGGGACCAGAGCCCAATGGAACACAAGCATGAGCAATGGTATCCAGCCATATGAAGGCCCAAGATATATACTGGGAGGATAATTAATAAGCTGACAGGGATACTGAAACTTTTCAACAAATATCCTAAAAGACAACGAAAACATGATTTGTGGACTTTGGCCGCAGCTTACACAGCCTGTCTCATGCCAATTCTCTGACTAGGAATTGCTTGCTTTTACATAAGCTGCTGCCACCTATTATGCCAACTGCTTTGCCCCAGTTTCGCACAGGCATTTACGGCACTAGAACTACAAAATTTCAAGCAGATGCCCGACCCCAACACCCATCTGTTTATTACCCTCTCCGACCAGACACTGACCTGCTGCACAGACGGGCCCACCCGCTGTGCAACCACATTCCACGCTACTTCTCTTCCCCACCTTGAGATCCTCGTTATCTACAAGAAGTCCAGTTTATCTAAAGGACGGTCAAAGCAAACACCAGGATTCCTGCCACTGAGGTCAGGTCTGGAAATTCAAACACACAGCCCGTGCTGGCTGGAGCAACAATAGTTGGGAAAACTCTGTCAGGTATCTAACTTTACAGTTCATTTAGAACACGCAGGAGATAATACCTGAACATTCGGTTTATCCACCTGAATTCTAGACAGTACACTAGGAGTTGGGCATGTGGGGGTAACTGAAAGCCCACATCCTTATGAACCTTACAATCTATGTAGAAAGGCAAACAAATCATTTCAGTTAGTGATGGAGATCTCCAACTGCTCCCCCCTCAACAAAAAGGTGTAGAGAGCACGCAGATATTTTCGATACAGTGATCAGGGCAGGAGACATCTGAGCAGATTCTGTGTTGGGTAAGTAAACCCGAATCCCATAATCACTACCGTTCTCATCATTACACACAACTATCAGGATAGCGCCCCTTCACTACAGCTTTTCCAAAGTTTGGGTGAAAGCCAGTATCAGAAAACCTTTGATAAAGAGCTTAATGAAAAGTTAGTTTAGTGCTATCATATAAAACTTTTTTTTTTAAGAGAGATTTTTGCTATAGGGCATGTATGTTTGCTGGAGACACAGAGAGAGACAGAGAGACAGAAATTGAGAACTCACTCCTCCACAGGGGATAGCCATTCCACAATCCCTTCTCCTCCATTCTCCTCTCAAGAACTTGGGCATACACACTACCAGCGTGAATTTTAAGTTGCTGGGTCCAGGACTGAAACTGTGGTCAACTAGATGGGAGAGTTCAGTGACATAACCATTATGCCATCTGCTGGTCCCCTAAATATTTTTTAAAAAGCCAAAATAGTCTTTGGCAAGAGAGGACTGCCTAGTTATGCTAAGTTGAAGGATGAAAAGCTGAATTCCTTTAGAAGATTACTGGTATTTGCTCTTTTCCCAGAGACACTAGAAATATGGGAAAAAGGCACAAAGGATAGGTAAGAGACATGAGTGAAGGGTTTTTTTACAAAGCCTCATCCTGACCTGGAACTCTGACCCTTGAGGTTCAAAAGGCTTACACACTCGGTGGGTTCGGCCACCCTGGCTGTCCATCAGCCCTGACCAGATGGAGAGGTACGTGGCACGCCCAGAGCAAGTCCTCACCTAGGTCAGCCAAGAGGCTAGCAGTGGGTCCCTCTTCTCCCAGGGGCGAGATGATTGCTGGTAAAAGAGACCTGAGACTCAGGGCCAGCAGATGGCATAGCACTTACGTCACTGGGCTCCCACGTGGCTGACCGTGGTTTGAGTCTTGGACCTGGTGGCTTCCAAATCATGTCAGGTGCATGCATGTGCATGCTCAAGATCCCAGAAGGAGACCAGTAGAGAAGGGACGGCAGTGTGCCCATCCCCTAGAGGGGTGCTTTCTTACTTTCCTTCTCGCTCTGGGGAGTACACGTGCCCTACAGCAAATTATGTGTGTGTGTGTGTGTGTGTGTGTGTGTGTATGTATATGTGTGTGTGTGTGTGTATATATATATATATAGAGAGAGAGAGAGAGAGAGTCTCTGACAGGCCAGATCACCTGCCTACTCTGGTGAATGGCAGCACAGAGACTTAAAATCCAGGCTTTCTAATACAAATTTTTAAAGCATTTTTTTATAGATGAAAATAAAAAAGCTTCTCATTAATTTTTTTTAGGTAGCTTTAGAAAATTTCAGATGTCATACAACATAATATTTCTACTCCAGTTTTGTTCTGATGATTTGCTGGCGGCAATCATCATTAACACTTAAAAGAGTTTATGTACAAGGCCAGCAGGTAGCATGTGGTTAAGGCAGACTCCAACATGACCGCCTCAGTGTGAGTCCCAGACTCCGTGGCTTGAGAATCATGCCCGGTATGTGTGTAGGCATGCCCAAATCCCGAGAGGAGAATGGAGGAGAAGAAGGGATTGTGGTGTGGCCATTGGGGGTTGATTTCTCACTTTTTCTTATGTACCAGGCAGCATCCTGAATATATTAGAATATTCAACATGTATGTATGTACATAATGTGTCTTAATCAATATATACTTAATTCAGTACAATCTAATAATAGAATCTTCACTTCACTACAACCACATTAATTAGGTGGCATTATTAGGCCTCTTATGGATAAAGGAAATGAATAGAGAACTTTAGTAAGTTGCCTAAAATCATGAAGCTAGTATGTGGTTAAAGCTAAGAATTTTTTTTTTTTTTTTGGAGACGTTTTTGCTATAGGGCGCGTGCGCTTGCCAGAAAGACAGAGAAAGACAGAAAGACAGAAAGCGATAAATCATCTCCCAGGGGAGATGGCCATGCCACAATCCCTTCTCCTCCATTCTCCTCTCAGGATCTTGGGCACACACGCACACACGCACACGTGCTCATCGTGAGTTTAAGCCACCAGGTCTGGGACTTGAACAGCGGTTGATTACATGGGAGTCCAGCGACATAGCCATTACGCCAACTGCTGGTCCCAAAGCTAAGAATTTGAACCTGAGTTCATTTTCTTAAATAATGCATGTCTACATGATACAGTCTCTTCTCATAGATTTACAAAATATAAAACAAGAATGACTTATTCCTTAAATTAAGAGATTTAAATATGTCTATTTTTAGAATTAAATCTTTTTTAAACTATATTTTACACAAAATAATCCTTTTAAGTAGCTTACTTGTTCCTTTAAAAAAACCCCTCAAAACTACATTTCGCACATGGCTTTTGAAAGCTGTTAAATAAAGCACAACCTTACATAAATTAGAATTTGAGGAAACTTGGGCCAGAAGTTGAGTGAAAACACAAACAGTAAAAGGATGGTTTGCTTTCCCTAAGATGCTTTAAAAACTTTTTCATCACTATTAAACTCATCTTTAATTGTTAATTTATAATCTGAAGTCTACACTAGGTATAAGGCACATTTTAAAAATATACTGAAGATTTGATGCCAAGCTCTCTAACTGGTTATTTCAACTGGTGTGAGGACGAAGTTCGAAGGTCCCAGTGATGCTTAAGACACGTGTACAGGCCAACTGGAGTCTTCATTCTTAGTCCGGCTACAGACAGATACGACAGCCTCAAGAAACACCTGGGTCGGAGGGAGTTAGGCTCACCAAAGATACCCCCAGCTGGAGAAACACTTAAATAACAACAGAGCTAACATTTACTGAGCACTAACCAAATATCAGCCTCTGGGCTGAGGGATCTGAGTGGATTACAGTGTGGACTGTTACCATCCGCCTTTGGCAAATGGTAAGCAGCACTGGACGGCCTGGGCAGGCTGACCACAGCTGTCCAGCTGTGCAGCAGAGATGGCCACCGTCCATGGGCTGTGAAGCCCCAGGTCCAAAATCCAAACCACGACACAATGCATCTCAGATTGGATAACATGGCTCCTGGCATCACAGTTTCATAGCTTCAAATGATCTTTATGTCTAGCTCATCACAAACATCACTACATTTCTGTCTAGAGCTTACTAAGTGAATTCGTAACGTTTACCATTTCTTGGATTTGGGCTAGGCTGTTGTATAAATTAATAGGGAAATGGTCATTGTGTCATCTAAAATAGTAGTTTTTAAAATTTAGATACGTTTCTCAATCACCAATAAGCTTTTTTTTCCTATAGGGAGCATGTAACAGAGAGACAGAAAGTGACAAATCACCCTCTGGAGGGATGGCCATGCTGCAATCCCTTCTCCTCCACTCTCCTATTGGGACTTTGGGCATGCATGTAC